TGATACACTTATTGGAATTTATGAGCTCGCAGGCACAGTGAGTGACATGGACCCGGCGCAACGATAACATCGGCTGTGCATAGAGCAACTGTCAAAAAGAATATACTAGGTATAATAAATTGTCAAGACTCGCAAATAATTCGTTTATTTTGATTATACAACTCTATGTATAATTTTCCTATATAGAAGGATGTGATTAATAAGTGATAATCATTTAAATGATTATAGCTTGGTGGCCATATTGTATTTGTCATTTTTTGAAATATTAATTCAGAAGTCATTTGTGTCAGTTCCACAAAATATCCCGTCAATTCTTATTACAAAATGGCAAAATAAGAAGGATATATTTTATGTATTTTATTTCGTTGTATAATCTTTTGAATACAACTTGATGTTTCGGGAGTACCTAATATCCAAAAAAATCCTTTATGGGTATTTCGCCACTGCACTGCAAGAAAAGTCTACAAAATAAAATAGTTATTTTTTGCAAACACTTCTGCGTTTAACCTAAACGGAAGCTGCTTGTTAGAAGTTGTGTTTACAGTTATAAAAATTTGCCTAACAAAGAAAAAAATGCTTAACGTTTCGAAAAGTTTTCTCTTTCCGTCGTCGGAAGCAAAAAAATATAAAGAATAAAGAAAAAAACTATTTAAAATATTTAAATTGAACTATTCGAGAACACACATACTTTTTAAAACAGATACGTCTACAAGAAACCGTTGACGTTCTGTTAAAATGACATTATATTAAGTTAAACTTCAAAATTAACAATTACTACCTGATAACAATTACTTAATAAGGTAAAACCAAAAAGCCCAAACTTTCTCTATGATTATTTTTAAGGTTTACGTATGTTATGTTTCTTTATTTTTGTTATGTTCTTTAAAATCAAAGAAGCGATTGCCATACATTACTAACTACTACAAACAGATGCATGAGCAATATTATTTTTATTAGATTGAATTAAAAAAGCCTCTTTTATTTTTCTTTTAGGGGCTATCGCTTCTTTCATTATAATTTTGGCGTTATTAATAACGTTGGCGTTAAATAAAGGATTTTTTTGGATAGATGAATCCGCCACATAGGTATAGACATTTATTACCTAATACTTTTGCCTGACACTCAATGCGATACAGGCAACACTACCCGAAATCCCGAAACATCTTGTGGTATTACATTCGAGAAGTAAAAGTTTGTGATATTTTTTTTGACATAATTTTTTGACAATATTTGTTTGATGTTCAGTGTTCATTTGATAGTGTGGGTAGAAGTGTATTATTTTATGTTTTGAAATATATTCGTATGAAGAAAATGATGATGGCCAGACTTTTTTCAGAACACGCCGCAGGATGCGGGGGAAGGTAATTCTAGCGGGACAAAACCGTTTTGTTAGAAATAAGCCAAAAAATATGTACTGATAATTAAATAGTAGATTGTAATACTTTTATAACGTATTGGTTGAGATGGAATGAAACACTCTAGTTCATGGCAAAAGCATCTTTATTAATGTTGTTAATTACAGGCATTGGCCGATGAATAGGTCATAGATTCTGTTGGATATGCAATAGTTGGAACACATTTCCTACTGCTAAATATGTAACAAACCAACAATTATTATTATATGCAGGGTTGTCTACCATCATATTACAAGACATTCCAATTGATATAAAAATGCATCAATTATGTTTTGGTCGTAGGTATATATTCTTTGTATTTCGATAAATTTTTATCAATCAAATTTAGTCGTTTTCCGCTCAGCAAGGTAGAGGTTATACGAAAACAAAATATTTACAAGTGATTATACATTCTATTGCAAAACCAAATTATTTTGAAGATTCCTAAAGGTATGTACTATTATATTGTACGTATATTATTCGTTAAAATCCTTCGTGTCTTGGTTCTGCAGATATCAAATAATTGAAACTTTATCGAAAAGCACTGAGTTCAAAAAATTAATGAATGATACCAATATCCAATTCGGTAATTTGTCTCCTGATGAAGCTCTGGCTGTATTTACGGATTTGAAATTAACAGAAGTTCAATACCAATTTCTTAGGAATGCGTTAAAATTAAAGTTCTTAAAGATGTATTTCCCAGTAACAAACATATTTTGGCAGCTAAGGCAAATTGTTATCAAATGGTATGACAATTTCGGAGAAGGTTTCAGCGATCAATTTTTCAGTCATTACTAAGCCATACCTCATGAAGATTGATAGAGTCTCAAAAAGAGGCATTATCTTCTTTAAGCATCGAATGGCGGTGATTCTCCTATCAAACTTAACCTGTATGTTAAATGGGGTACTGATGGTAGTGGTAGTAAACATTATTTTAAGCAACATTATGAGTTAAAAGTTTTTGATGATACATGTATATTAACAACTTGCATTGCTCCATTACTTCCAACTCTTGATAAAAATGAACAAACAGTTTTCTGGAAAAATTCAAAAATGTCATCTACTAAATTTAACTATATGGTTGCTACAGATTAGACCATTTGCTCCCTTCTTAGATTTTATTTAAGTCCATCACATCGCTTCTGTGGTTTTGTCCCGCTAGAATTACCATCCGTCGCACTGTGCGCCGTAATAGTATAGATATTATTGACATTTATGTTTTAATGTTAGCGCTAAATATCATAATGAATATAGAAAGATTTAAGTCAACATAAAATCATTCGAGTTATTAAAACATTTCTTGTAATAACTGCGGATATATTTTGTTAAACATCACAGTCTCTTTATTAAATATTAACCCAGTAATAATAAAATATTTCATTTTTAACGCAATAACAACGCTTTAACTTTAATAATTACCGTCTTTTAATGGAACTTGCAGCTAATATTAAACTCGTAAACAAGTGCAGATGGTTCACAAAGTAATTCGATATATTAGACTTGGTCTCGAGGTGCTAAATTTTATGTAAGTTAATAAAAGTATACCGCTTGCTTGTTCTTTTCCAGTTCGCCATGCGGCCGAGGTGGCTTTAAGAGAATTTCCCGAGAAGGAAGTTTAAATATAGAAAATTAACCGTTAGTTTGAATTTATTGTGCTCATGAAAACTCGCCATTGCAGATACATCTTCGGTATGAAAGCTTAACGGATTAAATTCAATTGTGATTTAAAACTAGAAAACTGTAAGTGTGCGAGATAAACGCTTTGGTTATACTATCAGACTATGAGTATTTTATTAAATAAATTTGAAGTATTATGTGCTTGATATAACAATTTTTTTTAAATTGAACTAGGTAGTCAAAATTTCAAACGTTCAGTCAGGATATTCCTGGCTGAGCTTGAATTATAAGTTGGTAGATATTTTGGACATTTCATATTTTTGGACAACATTTCAATTATTGAAGAACTAAAAATTGAGACACGTCCGGTAACCAAATTGGATCATCAAATCAAGTCAGTCCTCCCATATTTTGGCCATATTGCCAGGAGTGGCACCTCAATTGAAAGACTGATGGTGGAGGGGAAGGCAGAGGGAAGACGATCACCTGGAAGGTCACCTAAGAGGTGGGTAGACCAAGTCAAAACCCTAGTGGGCCACAACCTCCCCGAAACCTCACATATGGCGCAGTGTCGGACAAATTGGTCCGAGGGAGTGAGGGGAATCAACACATGATGTCATCATACTCTCACGTAAGGTGAAGGACTGAAGAGAGAGAAATTTTTGAGATTTGTGTGATTATATGGAAGATACGTGAAAGGAGTCTAAAGGTCTGTGCACATTATCATATATATTATCATATACGTATCGTTTCCGGCACATACAGAGATGGGCAAACACCCGGTATATTGAAATTTGGGTAAATACCCGATGTTTTGCATCCGGGATATACCCAATGGGTAAATAAAGGGTACATTAAATTTGGGTAAATACTATACCGGGGGTTGCATCGTCGTTGGGAACATAGGAAATCCCATGCAAAATTTGGACTGTCCAGATATTGGCTCCCCTATGGATTTTATAGCGAAGTCGTAAATAGACTTTTTAAAGGTCTACATTTGGTAAACACACCCAAATTTGAACAATTTTGGACAAGCCGATTTTAGGTAATTTGAGAAAAACTTAATCGATTTTTATATTAAAACCGAACAGGTAACAATCAAACACCAGTCAAAAACTGACATACCTTAGGTTTACAAACTATGATTTTGTCATTGTCAAAAGTAATTTTAATAAAATTTTAATATTTAGAGAAAATTAACCGAAACATGTCAGATACACTGTCGAATCTATTTTCCGCGTATTTTATCATGTTCACTTTTTCTTTATGTATATAACAATAAATTATTACTAGTACTGAATATTAAAATTTTATTAAAATTAAGTTACGGTAACACCCGGTATATCCGCTATATACCCAAGTATGTTTATTTTGCTAATTTAACGTATTATAACAAATTTTAACAACAATTTGTTATTATCTTACTTATTTTACCCTACAGAGACTGCACAATAGCATAATAGCCTTAATTGTATCGAACATACAGCACAATACAGACAGTTTAATTTAAATTATCTTATTATGGTTCAGTTTTTTATAGTTTTTGGAAATATTTTGGTCATCTTCACACATACAGTATGTCACGGATTGTTTTTACAAAAGAAAAAAAAATGATTATTGACATTTTCAGAAAAATGCATTATTCATAAACATTTTTGCTTGTTGTAAGATGGTTAATGCAGTTTAGACTTTTTCAAATTTTTATACCATTTCAGAGAAAATTAAAAAAAAACATGAAAATATGGTTTGTCCTAGAAAATGTCCTAAAAATTAAAACGCGTTTCTCTGGTAATATAACTTCGTTTTAATTCTTTGATAGATTGTTATTCATAAAATCTTAATTAATATATTTTTTTTGTTGTTTTAAAATATATTGTTACATATATATATATATATATATATATATATATATATATATATATATATATATATATATATATATATATATATATATATATATATATATATATATATATATATACTTTCAATTCGTGAGGTTTGGAACTTTCGTCACAGATTGTCATTCTCTCTCTTATCCATGTTTATCACATGAAATGGAAATTTTGTGTCAAAAACGTAAGTCCATTATATTGATTACATCGTACGATTATTTTATTCTTTTTATATACTGATCACATGCTGATTACTATTATTACGGATAAAATATTTACGTCCTTGTCCGATAAGCACGAATAGAAAAGGACAAACATCGTGTTTGTATTACCCGCCGAAATTGAACAATACGGAACGCCGACTGTCAAAGTTGTCGTTAAATTTTAACGGCTCCGATAGTTTCCCGTAAATTTTTCAAAGAGGATTTTTATCACTTTTTGATATTTTTGTGGGAGATTTTCTGTGTTTACTGAGTTATTTGTGATTTAATTTGTGTTTAAAATGCCGTCCCGTTTTAGTGAAAACGAACAACGGCTCATATTAAAAGTTATCCAGTATTTCAAACTCGAAAAAAATGCTGGAAAACCCCTTTTGCCTGTGTCGGCTGTTTACGATGTAATTGGACAACTATCAAGTTAATATTTTTTAACTAAATCGAAAATATTCACGTGTTTTATAGAGAGCATCGGAGGCTTTAGGAATTTCACGCACGACTGTGCAAAGAATCAGTTCTAGAGGAATCGTGACAGATGAAGAACAAAAAGCAGCAACAAGTCATAGAATTGCTTTGTCCCGTGGAATTCCTGCTTATAAGATACATGAACATACAATTAGAACACGTATTTATTCAATGTATGCTGCAGGTAGGCTACAATAAATTTATTATTGTTTAATATTATATGTATCTAATTTTTCACTGTATGGGATTATATAGGGGAACATATTACATTACAAACTTTGCAAGCAAACCTTCAAAACATTGATGATGTTCAGTTGTCTCTGACTATGTTGGGGAAAGGACTTAAATATTTGCAGTTTAGATGGCAAAGTTGCAAGCATTCTAACAGGAAGTATTTAATGGAGCAGCCATATATTGCACAGAAGAGACTGCAATTTTTACGACAATATAAAGAAAATCAAATCTCTGATTGTTCTTTCAGACCAGTATTTCTTGATGAAACCTGGATTTACAGTAAGGGTGGATTTAGAAAGAGCTGGCAAGATGGCAGTCTACAAACAGTTCGTAAAACATCTGGAGAAGGAGTAAGGTACATGTTTTTTACATATTCATTGGTTCACTTATAGGTCAGTTAGAAGGGAACAAATAGAGATACAAACAATAATATATGATAACTGTTAAGTTGTTTCTAGTAAGTAACATATGAGCCATGCACTGCACAACTCAGTTAACTCCACTTTTAAAAATTTTTAAATTTAAGTGTAAAACCAATTGTAATATTCAAACAGTTTTCCAAAAAATAGACAAATAGACAAATAATAACCTCTGATGTTTGGAAAATGTTAAGTTATTAATATACCAACTGGATTTACACTTAAATTTAAAAATTTTCAAAATGTATTGTTCATCACTTAGACAAGGAAAGGGGGGGACGGGCATTACCAGTAGAAATTTTGTGATGGAAAATCGCTAGGCTCCATGCCAAGGCCGTTTGTGAAAAGTGATTCCTAGTTCTTTCTCTCATTACAGATCTTAGAATTGTAAGCACAACAAAACACCATACTTAAATAATAATTATTTCAAGTCTTTAAAAAGCTTTTTACAGCACAAAATACAAAAAAACACACAATTTTTAGGAGCCAATCACAAAATTTGATATTGGCCGTAGATGTCGATTACGCGTCCCCTCTCTTTGCTTGTCTAAGGTGCATGAGCAGTAAACAGCTGATATAACGATAATGTTTCTAACCTAAAGAGTGAATGCAAAGAAAAACATAAAACGTTACATCTGCATAGCAACAAGTGTGCACCAATAAATGCATGGGATTATATCGATTACATTGTAGTTTAACTGTAAAGAAATGTACCTTGTACTTCATTTTTGGGTATGTATGATAGTGATTTTTTAAGGTATATTGTATTGCATGCTGGGTCAGAAGATGGATTTGTGGAGAATGCTAGCTTAGTTTTCAAATCAGGCACTAAATCGGGTGACTACCATGATTCCATGAACTCCAAATCAGAGTTGGAGTAAGGAATCCCTGATTAATTTCTTGCAAGAAAAGGGAATCCAATCACCACCTCTGGCAATGAAAGATCAGATTTGGAATATTGTCAAGCAGAATGTTGCACCTAAGAAATACAAGTAAGTCAACAAACAGTCTTATTACTTTGACATGAATGCAATTGTATATGCGATATGTTAATTTAACATTATAACTTTATTCCATTGCATTTATTTGGCAGACTGGACGAATTAGCCAATGAGAAAGGACATCGTGTGTTGAGACTTCCTCCATATCATTGTCAGTACAATCCCATCGAAATGGTATGGTCAGAATGCAAGCGCTACTATGATGCCAAGATTAGTGCCATTCATCCTGTTACAAGTGATGCAGTATTAGGTCTTTGGAAAGAAGCACTTGAGAAGGTAGATTACATGTGGTTTAGATTATTTTATATTAAAAGTTTTATTTTAGGTTACACCAGAGAAATGGAAGAATTATATCAGACATACCAATAGCATAATCGATAAAGCCTGGGCCCAAGAACAACTGATTGATGCCTCCGATATTCTACCTGTAATTATCGACACGAATGATTCCGATTCAGATGAGGACAATTATTTAACTGAGGGAGAAGAAAGTGTGTAGTGTTTAGTGTCTAGTATTATTTTTCATACATATTGTTTTATGTTGTACAGTGTGAGTCAGTGACAGAGTAAAGAGTAAATTTAATTAGTAAATTAATTTTAAATATAGAGGGGACTCCAAAAAGTGAGGCAGATATATATTATAAATAATGTTATATACCTAGAACTAATAGTTTTCTTAATATTTATTTAAAAAAATGTGTTATGCCAGCACCGACATGGTAGTGGCATTGTGTAAAAACTTTTCTATGCTAATCACTGGTATGAAAGTATTTACATATTGCCACTACCATGCCAGTGCTGGCATACCAGTTAAATTGGCGATAGCTACAGTATATAATAAATCAACAATCAATCTTTATATACAAAGGTTATAGAATTTTGGGCAGAATCTAAATATAAAATAAAAAATTATTGTATTGGGTGTTACATTAAAAAAATATTATATCTGCCACACTTTTTGGAGTCCCCTCTTATTTAAAATTAATTTTAAATTGTGTACCTGATAGCACAGGATCAGGTTGCAGGATTATTAAGCTCATAATGTAATTAAAATATAATTTTTATATATATTTGTGAATAGGGTAATACACTTTTAACGGGATGCCAATCAAAAAGTGGCCACAAATAGGGGTTGCCACAGTTCGAAGTCGTTCCTACTACTTTATCCGGGTCCGGCAACAGTGAGTCAGGCATCTGTTGCTCCTATAATAAAAAAAATTGTATGAATGCAAACTGAAAGTATGTATTAGGAAGTATTTCATGAAAATATTTTAACTTCTACAGGGTGGGTCAAAAAAGTAAGCGAATCGGAATGATTTTTTTAAATGGAACACCACATATATTATTGCATTTTTGGCTTCTTTTCTGATCACTTTACATAATCCTAAGATATTATTAAATATGTTTTATTAGTTTCAGAGCTATTAGGTACTAAATAAATAAATAAAAATACTTCAGCCTTTTATAACACAAAATGTTAAAAATACTTTTTTAAAAATACAAGGAATGTCGGTACTACTTTGCTATAAATATCGTAATCTTAAACCATACAGGGTGTTCAAAATCCTATGCTAAACTTTCTAAAATATAAAATAGTTGTTCTTCCTTTTTTTAATGGAACACTCTGTATATTATGTGTTGTTGATGAGGAATTAAAAAATGCACATTTTTTGTATTTAAAGTATTTAAAAATCTTTAGCGGTTCTATTTAAAATAAAGCAAAGAAAAACTGTTTTATATTTTAGAAAGTTTGGCATAGAATTTTTAACACCCTGTATGATTTAAGATTACGATATTTATAGCAAATTAAGTAAAGAATAAATATAGTAAACACCTAATATAGTTTTGATTTCAGGACATTTCTTGTATTTAAAAAAAAGAAAGGCTGAAATATTTTTTTTTATTTATTTAGTAATTGTTCTGAAACTAACAAAACATATTTAATAATATCTTAGGATTATGTAAAGTGATCAGAAAGGAAGCCAAAAATGCAATAAAAATAATCCCAATTCACTCAATTTTTGGAGCCACCCCGTAGAAGTTAAACTATTTTCGACAAATACATCCTAATATATACTTTCAGTTTGCACTCATATAACATTCCTAAGTTGCGGCCACTTTTTCATTGGCACCCTGTTAAAAGTGTATTCACCTATTCATAAATATATTTAAAAATTAGGATTTGATTATCTACATGATGAACGTAATAATCCTGCAGCCAATCTTAGACTATGATCATTCTCTAAAATTATTCAATTTAATTTTTTTTTGTTAGTCTCGAAACAAATAAGATAATGGACTTTATCGTTGACACACCCTGTATCTTAAGATTTATATATTAATATAATATATATTTACTATAATGTCTAGTGGTATATTTTTGTACTGTATATATTATGTTATGTATTATGGAGTCATATTCTTGTATTGTCTGTTGTATTTTTTTTGTACTTATCAGGTTTTATTGTACATTTGGGAGTTTTTTCAGAAATATATAATTCTATATTCTGTTTTCTCCCATTTCCAAGAGTTTTTTTGCACATCCCGAATATCTGGCTGACATTATGTTATATTGCCAACACATCTATTTTTTGATCTTAGCTTTTATCTTCACTACACTTTATCTAAATACAGTAAACATAATTTTAATATGTAGTGTTTCAAATTTTAGTAGAATCTAATTTTTAGACATAGAATAAATTTTTAGTAGAATGATTGTAAAGAACAATGATGAACATGATTTTTAATCATTTCTATTATTATTAACTATTAACTTATTAATACTTTTCTTGTGGTTCTAGAAAACTTTTTCAGAATAAATTTGTAGTTCTTTTCATAAAATTAATAATATTTTTTTATTTATAAACTAAAATAAATATTTACAGCTTACATTGTAGATATAGTGCAAAAGCCAAATTTAACGTTAATGGTGTAACGCTAACATGAATACAATAGCTCCCTACTAATAGCGATAGCACCTTAAATGTTTACATCTATGGATCAACTCAGGAAATACGTGAAAACCAATATGGCGCCGAAAAAGATGACGAAAGTGCCTAAGTTCCCGAATTGAAATATATATATATATTATATATTATATAATAAAATATAAAAAGAAGTACAAAATTTATTTAGTTTAGTGCTACAGAAAGGGCGATGATAGTTATCGGAAAATATGATACTTTAACTATGGCAAAAAATATGACGCCAATCAAAATAAATAATAACCATTTGTCAAAGAATGAAACCGAAATAATATTAACCATAGAAACTTTTGATTTTTAGGATATAGAAAAAATTCAACCATATTTTCATGTTTCTCTAAAACGGTATGAAAATTTGGAAAAGTATAAACGAAATTAACGATTTTAGAGCAAGCAAAAATGCATGAGGGATGCATTTTTCTGAAAATGTCAATAATAAAAAAGTTTCTCATCTTGTAAAGACAATTCGGGTGGCATAACATGTTATACAGAGTGCGTCTTAAATAAATGCAAATATCTAAAGGTATATTTTTGTATCCCTCTACATCTATGAATTTTTTTCGCAAAAATATTTTTTTTTTAAAACGTTTATCTTTTCGAAAATTTTCTTGAAAAATGTTTCGATTTTTAGTTAAAAACATAATATCTTGATAATACGGCAACATGGGTAGTAGATTAGTAGGAGGAATGACAACACAGAAAAAATCGAGTTGGTCTAAAGAAAATAAAGAATTAAAAATGTAAAGTTACTGGGGGAGAGTACATATATTTTATTTATTGAGATCCACCAGTCTTTAAATATTAGCACTTATGTAAGAGTGACCCTGTATATAAAAATATTAAAGGAGACATAATAATAAGTTGTAATAAATAAGTCAATCCATTAAAAAGGAATTCAAAAACATTTTAAAAACAAAATGATATTTACTAAGTATTTCGTAGATTATATACGAATTTTCTTTTATCTGATGCCAAGTATATTGATTCTTTTTATAACATAATAGTAACAATAAGTGCCGAGTGTCTCTAATGGGCCCTTAAGAAAATTTCCGCCGACTTCTAACGACCTTAATGCAGAATTAGTTAAATGTCGTGTCTTAAGCCATTGTTTCAGGTAGTTGAACCTTCGATTTAGTCCTAATTTATGGCCTAAATTGCTCGAGTTTAGGAGATTATAAATAAAATGCTATGTTATATTGCGATCTTAACGCTACATTAGTCTGTGATTATTTAGGATTAAGGTAAATAAATCTTGTTAAGCATCTTATTAATGTTAGTTCCTTTAGTATATTATTTAAACTACTTTTATTTTTTGTTGACTTTCACATTTATATCGTAAATTAAGATTTCTATTTTTATTTCTGTTGTTTGGGGGATTATTATTTGTATCAGTATTTAAGAGTTTGATGAGTTTTATTTATTATTTTATTTTTATTTAAGAGATTAATGTCAGAAAATTAATAATAAATGTTTTATGTATTATATGAACTATACCGGGTGCTTTTTAAAAGTGGCTAACCCTTATAACTTTTTTATTTTTTTCAGATAAAAACGACATTAGGTTTGTTAGTATATGACATAAATCAAGATTGATTGACGTGTTCAATTAGTTTCGGTCCCTTCCTGTTTCACTGGAAATAACTATACAGGGTGTTTCAAGAAACATGTGCCATCTCTGGTGGGGAGATTCTTCACGTAAAAATAAGATTTTTCATATCAACATAGGCCCGATTCTGCTTTGTTTCATAGCTACAGGGTGTTAAAGATTTAATAATCTTTCGATTTATTATAATTTTCTTCCGAGTACTTTTAGTGATTCGAATGAAATTTTGAGGGTAAAAGTTACTAAAAAGAAGTTCTACATATTTTAATGCTAAAAAAGTGTCGATAAATTTATCAGGGACGTGCATATGGGTATGACTGGAATATTTTTCAAAAAAAAACATATGCGCCACTGACTGTTTTTCTTTTGATATCAAAATTGTGTAGGCTATTTAATACCAATTTTAAGTTAACTCTTGATCTTGATATTTTGTCGAATTCGGCCTCCTTGATGAGATAAACGCAATTTTATTAATTACAATTAATAAAATGACAATAAAAATAAAATTAATAAATTATATATATTTACCTAATTTATTATTCATTATTATTACTATTAGTCCAACCTACAGCAATTTCAAATAAAAAAATAGTGATATTTAAGATAATTACATTAAACCTAATTTTAAAAAGTTTTAACATCCTGTAACTCTAAAACTATGCATTTCCATACCCATGCTTATAGGAACTTTTTTCATATTTTTTGATTAGGAATCAATGAGTACTTATTTAAAACTTTCACAAGTTTATGATATTAAATTTTTTTAAATGTTGCTATTAGACTTTTATCAAGGCAAATTAATAAAATTGCTTTTATCTCATCAAAGAACCTGAACTCGACAAAATATAACTGCTTGCACTATTTCGCTAACAAGAGACACCAGGTGTTTGGTTTGGTTTGATGCTCTAAAATAATTAATATAGTAAAAAATTGATCTGACGAATATTTTATTAACAACAACATGGTTTTTATCAACATTAAATTTATATTAAATATTCAAAAACTAAAAATAAAATATATTTATTATATTTTTTTATTTAGCGCTAAATGTCAAGTGCCACATATTTCGCTGTAAAATTAATTTGCTTTCAGTATAACAAAAAATGCGTGAAATTGTTATATTAATATAACAATAAAAATAATTTTATTTAATCTAGAATGTTCGGTGTGCATGCTAAACAATATTTAATTAAATTATGTCACAAATAAACAAATAATTATTTTATCCGAATTCAACCGCTAACATTTTGATATTTTGTTATTTCAACAGTATAAAATCGTGCTTAGTTATTAATATAATTCTACTTATTATAATAATTAGTAGAATTTGTTCAAACCTGGTGAATTTTAAAATAACAAATACCATTTTTAAAAATAAATTTATAAAAGAAATATGGTCATATAAAGAGTGTATTTCTTATTATACATTGTCGTTGTAAACAGGAAATCGCATGCAAATTTTGAACTGTCAAAAAATTGTCTCCTCTGTTAATTTTACCGCGAAATTATAAATATGTGTTTTTAAAGGTTTGCGCATGCTGAATACACATGCCAAATTTAATTTTTTTTATTAGTAAAAAAGCCGATTATAAATAATTTAAGAAAAACTGAATCTATTTTTAAATTAAAACTGGATATATAACAATTCAAAACCAGGCAAATGCCAACGTACGTTAAGTTGTCATCCTATAATTTTGTTAATCTCAAATTGTATTTTCTAAAAGTTCGGCTTTTGCC